ATAGGAAACTGTAGATTACATCCGCGTTTACATCTTGTGATCACAATCAGTGCTATTTTTGTGAAGATCGATTGGCTTTTTAGTGTTAAAAATGGCGAGTTTTATGAGTGCGAATTTAGAGATGATACTAAGAAAATATTGGAGGAAAATGGATGGATACCAGATGATCGGTAAATATTTTTCATTTTTAAAGGTTGCGTCAGCGTATTAAATAATTTTTTGGAAAATCTTATTGAAATAGACATTATTATCGATACAGAGGCCGAATCTATGGATTTTAGAATTTTTGTCTGTCTGTCTGTCTGTTACCGCATCATGAAAAAACCACTGGAGGCAATTTGATGAAATTTGGTATAATGATAACTGGTTATCCGGGTCAACATATAGGATACTTTTTACTGCGGGAAAATATCTCATCTCTGAGAAATCTATACTAAACGTTAAAACGTAAGTAGGAACGAACCTGACCGGAACGAGGGTGAGTCGCTAGTATTAAATATAATAATGATGAGAGTTTAAAAAAGTTGCATCGAAATTCGCTTACCAAAAAAAAAATACCTACGTATACGTGTATGTAATCAGATTACCTCTTACAAAGGGATCCAAGATATCTGGTACAACAAGTAATCGAACTTTCAAAAATCCACTTTGTATTGCCCTGAATTCGTTTACATAATACGCAAGTAAAATGTTTAATATTAAATAACATTACCTGTACCAATAATTACATAATTATTTAATCATGATTATGAATAAATATGAGAGAATTATGTACACGGTTTAAGAAAAAATAATAATAAAGCCTTTCTTCTTTGTTCTTTACTTCTATCAGCTTTTAAAATTAATTATAATAGTTTTTTAATTGGGATATATTATTTCTGTAATTTGTTATAGGTATTTATAAGTGATATTATCAGAACGAGTGGTTAAGGGCTTTAGTTTATAATTTATATACAAACTTTTATACTACCTTTGAATAAAATTAGCATAGATAATTGATATTCTATATTTTAAGAAACATGTTTACACTGGATATGTTCTTACGTCATGAAATTATTATTCAACTAGCGACTCACCCTCGCTTCGCTCGGGTTCGTCCCTACTTACGTTTTCACGTTTAGTATAGATTTCTCAGGGATGAAATATTTTCCTGCAGTAAAAAGTACCCTATATGTTGACCCCGATAACGAGCTATCATCATACCAAATTTCATCAAAAACCCTCCAGTGGTTTTTCCGTGAAGCGGTCACAGACAGCCAGACAGACAAAAAGACAGACAGAGACAAAAATTCTAAAAACTTTAGATTCGGCCTCTGTATTGATAATAATATCTATTTCAATAAGATTTTCCAAAAAATATTTCATGTACAGATTCGGCTTAGTTACAATTTTATTATATGTATAGATATTATAAATTCGAAAATAGAAATTGACTTGTTTGTGTTTTCTTTTTACGGTTGATTTTTGTCAAAAATTAAGTATGTAGAATATAGGATTGTTATGAAACTAATTTACATTTTATAACTTGAATTTCGAATTTGATCAAAAATGGTCTCTTAATAATTGTAAATTCATTAATTTTATACACTTAACCTTTAAAAAACTCGTATACGGTTTATAATTTTTTTCCATATGCAAATAAGAAGGAATGTTTTTAAAAATGTAGATTAGATATGAAATAAAAGTGTATAAAAAAATTCTGGACATTCCTAGGTAGTACATATAATATATATCATATATTGGAGGTTTTATAAATTTTGTCTGTCGAGACGCATTTTACATATTGTCTAAGTCCTTTATAGATACATATAACGCGATCGTATATTACACTTTTTTGAAGTCGGTTTTTATTTCAACTTTTTATTTTTACATTTTTAGTGTAGACATAATAGTAGCAAAGTAAGACGAAAGTATTTTAAAATCTTAGTATGTGAAAAATTATTTATCCCTATTTTCTACACTTAGGGTGGATTTTTTTTAATTAAATGTTTTTTTTAAATTAAAATGGGCCCAAGTTTGAGGTATACCCCATCCATTTAAAAAGATTCATCGAAATCGGACAACACTGTAAAAAGTTATGCGTGGCCAGACAAAAAAATACGTGTTGAATTGAGAACCTCCACCTTATTTTTATCGGTTAATAACATTTGACTGATTATTGCGCGTGCGCAACAGCAAACAAAGGTAGTATAATAAAATAATTGATAAGTGACGTAAGTTGTTGCAAAGTCGTTGAAGAGAAATTACAAAATCTTTTGTCAATATATGCAGCTGCAATGACCTCTAATTTAACCATTCACTTTTGATAACATGTTTCACTTTAAATAGATAATAAATGTACGAGTCATTTCTGTATTAAAGTTACTATATAATCGACCCGATCTCGCTTCACTCAGTTCGAAAATGACATACAAACATACATACATAGGTACATGTAAATATAGATACTATGAAACTATATATCAAAATATTTTGATGTACTAGGTAGTAGCCTAAGTCATTAACGGCAGATCCCAATAATCGATCTAACTGTCGTTTTCCTTACTACAGATAGACATGTGTACATATAATAAAATTATAACTAAGTGGAATCTGTACATTAAATATATTTTTGGAAATACTTATTGAAATAGTCATTATTATCGATATAGAGGCCGAATCTATAGTTTTTAAAAAAATTGTCAGTTTTTAAAAAAATTGTCAGTCTGTTTATGATCAGCAATGAGGATTTGATGAAATTTGCTATAATGATAGCTCGTTATCGGGGTCAACATATAGGATACTTTTTACTGCGGGAAAATATTTCATCTCTGAGCAATCTATACTAAAACTCAAAACGCAAGTAGGGACGAACCCGCGCAGAGCGAAGGTGAGTCGCTAGTTTTACATAAGATCCGTGCTAATTGGAAAAGCTCCATTAAAAATTTCACATTTCGATCTCTAGTAAAAAAACCAGATTATATATTGATATAGGTAGAAAGCTTCAATAACGCACACAATATCATCAAGTTGTTACTTTTGTATTTATTCAAGTTTTTAGTTTTTTTTTGTTTTTAAGCCAAATTAAAAAGAAAATTGTACTTTTTGCCAAAAACTCCGAAGCGAAGCTCGGTTGCCCAGGTGCTTAACAAAATAAGCTACAACTTACTACAACAAACTCATCATGACATAAAATTAGTAATTAATAGTCCATATGACACAACACATTCAACATACAAATATCCATGGCACATTTTAAAAAAACACACACACTGACGACTCGTGTTCATAAACGCGCGCATTTGCGCTGATAAAATTATAAGGACCTATATACATCATATAAATACCGCCAAAACGCACGTATTACGAATGTACGTCGTCTTTGTATTCTGTGTTGATTAGCATAAAAAATGCAGAACACTTAAAAATGCAAATACACCACACCTCTTAAAGCGTGGTCACTGCGTTGAAAAGTCGTAAATTCTGATTCCTATAGGGAATCTTTCATATCTATTTACTTTTTTATGTAAAATAATGTGAACTTTTTTTGTTAAATCCCATATAACGTAATAAGGCGATAAGTTAAACATTAAAACCTTTTTGACTAAACTAAACAGTTAAAAATTTACATCTTTGAAGATGGTATGGGATTGACGGACCGACGCGCAGACGGATGGAGTTGGTAAAGGGTACATTAAATAATTTTTCTGCTATGAAAAACCTTTTGCACGTTACTTCACTCTATAATTAAAAATATATATGTACGTATATCTTGATATATAGACTTCAAGGTATCCTATTCTCTATCGTCTATGATCGGTTTCTTTCACATTTATTATTGCTATACGAAATACATTTTAACAATCACATTTCAGAAATTTACAACTTATTTATCGACTAGCCACTTACCCTCGCTTCGCTCGGGTTCATCCCTGGGTTGATTCCCCATACGAATTTCATCCCGATTTTCACCCCCTTAAGGGATGATTTCCGGGGTAAGAAGTATCCTATGTCCTTAGGGTCTCAAAGTATCTTCTTACCAAATTTCATCTAAATCGGTTCAGTAGATCCAGAGATTACCTGCTACAACTTCACAAAGTCACAAACTCACAATTCACAAACTTAACCTCTTTATGATATTAGTATGGATATGGAAAGTATGTACATCTCATAGAATATGTATTAGAAAACGACCGCTGAAGCTGAGAGTAGATACATTAAAGTCAAAGTGTAGGTTTACGAGACAAAAAGGCACTCAGAAAAACCTTTCTCGTAGCAAAGAACTGAAATGGAATATCGATTATGTTAATGGAAAAGAAAAAAAACTTATAACTTCTCAATCTTTTCATTTGCATTCCAACATAAAAACTGCATTTAACATACACAGACAGCTGGTGTGGATATTAAATATCTAGATAGTGGTTTAATCTATCTTAATTAGATCGAGGCAAGCATTTACATGACCAATACAATTATGCAATTTATACCCTCGGGAAAGAATTAAAGTACTAATCCAATTATTTAATTAATGGGAAAAGAACCTTTTCCTTAGTCCTTCTACCATTTCTAATTACGGTCGTATAACTGGATAACTGTTTAAGATAAAGATAAAAATACTCAAGAGAATTAAGAAGAGTCAGTAGCCTATATGGGTTTTAATCTATAGGTACATACTCGTAATACATATAATAAAATTCTATCTGAGTCGAATCCGTACATTAAAATTTTTTTGGAAAATCTTATTGAAATAGTCATTATTATCGATATAGAGGCCGTTCCATAGTTTTTAGAATTTTTGGCTGTCTGTCTGTTGTTCTATCTGTCTGTCTGAGAACGCATCACTAGGAAATCAGTGGGCAGATTTTGATGATAGCTGGTTATCTGGATCAACAAATAGGTTACTTTTTATTGCGGGAAAATACCTCATCTCTAAGAAATCTCCACTAAAAGTTAAAACGTTCGTTCGTTGCTAGTAATAACTAAAGTGAGTATCCAATATTAATGTAAACTTTCTTTTACAGATGAAATTGGCAGTCCAGACACTGGATTTACTATGGCGTCGATGAATTCAAACGGGGACCTAAAAAGTATTGGTGACCCTCCAGAAAAAAAGATCGCAGAAGCGGATGCTGAGAAACAACCATTGTCTGGAGTAAGTATTATTATTGTTATCATCTGGTACAGATTTCCTCTCAGAGAATTCCTCTCATCTCCTAGAACTCAAACTGAGAGTCTACTTTAATTAGACTAATTTTTAAGCTATTTTTTTTCATATCATCTCCGCATATTTCACAACATGACGTGCTATAGCTGTTTCACTGAGTCCGCCAACCCACACTTGGCCAGCGTGGTGGACTATGACCTGATTCCCCTCGTATTGAAAGGAGGCCCGTGGCCAGCAGTGGGACGTTATAAAGGGTTAGATACAAGTCTGTATTCTTGGAGGTTATAAGCAGCTACCTCGTAATTGACTTATTTGCAATCGATCGTAAAATTATTACTACTAGCGACTTAGCTCAGCTCGGGTGCATCACTAGGTGTCTAACAGCTTATGTGTTCCTCCAGCCCATCCTATCTATGTACTAAATTTTATCCAAATCCTTTCAGCCGTTTCAGCTTAAAGGAGTAAGAAACATATACATACATACAAACTTTCGCAATCATAATAGCATTTTTTATAACACTTTATTGCACACGAACATAGTACATAAATATAAAATAAATACAATTAAAGAGATGTGCAAAGGTGGCCTTATCACTAAAAGTGATCTCTTACAGGCCCAATAGACAAGGATACAAGAAAATAAGTGAGAAGAGCGGAAAGGTGCATAAAGTGCAAATCATTAAAACTTAATATAAATAAACATACATATACATAATAATATAATAATGTCTATATAATATGTATATATAATAATAAATATAAATATATATTGGGACATTCATACACAGCACCATCTAGTTCCATGGTAACTGGTAAGCTACGAGGCTTGTGCTATGGACACCAGATAGCTGATACACTAGATATATATAAATTAACTACATACATATTATAAATATAAACATCCATGACTAGAGTACAAACATTCGTGCTCATCACATAAATGAATGCCCCCAGCGGGACCCGGACCCGCGACCACTGGTTCAATAAGTAGGGTCACTACAAACTGAGCCAAAAGTGTCGTCGAATGCGTAAACATTTATTTATTTATTTTTCGGGAAACAAACACTGAAATAATTCTTATACAGGTCATTTTTAATTTACTGAAAACCTTTTGAGAATACACTATTTACAACATAACAACATCTGTAAGAAAAAAAAATCATATATCTTAAATTTAACAAAAATAAAAATATTTTTATTGCACCTTCTCAACAGTAATAGTCCATCATTAGCAAAAGAAAGTGCGTGTCCGGTGGAGGGGGAGGGGTGGAGGGGTGTAGGAAGCTGCGCTTACTCATTTAAACTTGGTCAGATGCTAGAACTTTAAAGTTTAGAAGGTGCAAAAAAAAAATTTTATTTTTATATGAAAATAAAAATTTAAGAAATATTATTTTTTCTTGTTACAGATGTTGTTGTTATGATGTAAATAGTATATTCCCAAACGGTGTTCAGTAAATTAAAAATGACTCTGTATATATTTATAGTCATACACCAGCAAAGTTAACACATTTTTTTCTTTGACAAAAATTTACTAATCTCTGCCTCTACAGGAAGTAGTTCTTAAATTACTCTAAAGTCTAAACTATATTCATAACGTTTAAGAAAACAGCTAGTTTTTCGCATTTTAATTTTATAATTCATTCGTAAAGTGTTCGTGAAAATTATATTTAAATGGCACATTGTTACCTCAATAGAGCAAAAATCATTATTCATTTTATAAATTGAAGGAAGTTTTTTTTTTTGCAATTGTGAAGACAATTAGAACAATTATTGTTCTTTTCAAGATAAAAAAGTGATTAACTTAAGTTAAAGTAGTTAAAGTAAAAAAATCTAAGTGAAATATGTTTGATTGTACTTTATTAACCGTCTTCTAAAAAGGAAGAGGTTCTCAATTCGTCGGAATCTTTTTTTATGTATGTTCACCAAACACTCAAACTCACTCAAAGACGCCTGATGTGATTTGGATTTTTTTTTGTTTCGAAGGGTATATTTCCCAGGTGGTTCCATTTATCGAGTTCGGTCGAGCGGTTTTTAAAAAAAACAACTATTTTTTTTTTTTAAATAAATTGCTTAATCGAATATAACAAAAAATATTGTAGACTGGCACCGACTTCGAAAATATCTGATTAAGTACATACATATATATATGTATATATATATGTATATATATATATATATATATTCTAAATGTAAACCCCCGTTTAATTTTTTTTTACATTTTAGTGCCTGGAAGTCTGTTGTTATTTTTTTAAAGAAGTTTTTTTCTGTACCTTACATTCATGATGTTGTTTCTCATTAATTGTTAGTTCATGTCTAAATGGAAAATCTAAACTATTGACAGATGGACTGGATCTAAAAACTCTTTTACTCGTAACAAGCTATGGTAGCAAGCATAGCTGCGAACGAAAATTATAGATACGAAAATTTAGTATTATAGATACGAATGTGTTACTATTCTTATAGGTAACAGCAAATATTCTAATCGTTTATCGTATGGGTGCATTTTTTTAATTTATAAGACAGACCTCTTGAGATAATTATTTATTAGTAATGGACATAATTATTAAAAAATCCAGCAAACTAGATTATACGTAATAGTGAACCATGAGCGTGTCACATGCACTTAAAAGCGAGTTTGAAAACAAAAAGCTTCATCATAAAATGGTAGATCAAAAAATGCAAATCATGATTCTTATAAATCTTCAAAAGCGATTTTTCTGTCAAGACCTAGAATACGATTGTGGCAATTACACAAAAATAGTGATAATTAATTAGCAATTGTCTGAGTTTTGCTTGTATTTATATAGGTATTAGGTAGGTATTGTAACTGAGAACCTTGTATTCTTCTATATTAGTAGGGGTACTTTATATCGAGAAAGAACGGGGAATCCCCACTCCGTCTTTCGAAATATGTATATAATCGACCTATCAATATGGAACTTAACATTTTTTTTTTATTTGGATATCTATTCTAATTAACTAATAAACAAAAAAGTATGCTTTCATTATGACGATTTGTATCCATTAATAGAAAATTAATAATTAAAAAATCTTTTAACACAACTTCTGTACTATATGTAATATGTATACAATTAACTCTATTGAAGGTCTCTTCAAAATCATTTATATCTTTCTTTTTCTATTCTATATACGGCGAGGTCATAATCTTTCTTATCGCCTCAAGAGGTACGGTCGAAGCAAGGCTAAAACACTAATGTAGTATTATAATAGGTGGTTGATTTATGGCACTTTTGTGATTTATTTAATCTAATCTAGTATAGAAAATCCCATATCTTGTTTCGAAACGTCTCTCCTCATTTGAATAATACTTTTTAGGGATAATTAATGTAAAAATTATTAATAAATAATATTTTTTTTATTATTTGATTATGGGATTATTTGATTACCAACAGATGCTGAGAAATGATGAAAATTAAGTACATTTTTCTAGCTAATAGATTATCTTTGGTTTTATTTTTAAATTGATTTTTTTAACGTTCCTTGTCTGTATGTTTGTAAAGAAAATATTATATATTATTCCCGTTAATTTTTTTACATTACTGTTCGTAAAATTTGAGCACGCCCTAATGGTCTTGTCCAAGCTCTCGTTGATTTTCATAAAATTAGATATTCCCTATTACAATGGCCATCATAACAAGCAAATGTTTGATATCCTACAAAATTGATTTTCACTAGCAACTTTACTTGAGTGTATATATAACCTAAATATATGTTTATATATTTGTATATATGTGGCTAAATGCCTAACAGCTATCTATGTGTTGCTCTAGATTCTAGACCAACGGTCAGCAACAGGCGGACCGCGGTCCGTTTGCGGACCGCGAAAGGTCGAACCTCGGACCGCCAAAATATATATTCGTTTGTTTTATTTTATATTTTTGTATACCAAGTATAAATTAATACGTGGATAAGTTATACTATACCTTTTTTAAATAAAATAAGATTTTTAAGCCACAGAATTTAACTTAGTACTTATTCTATTTTAAGTTTCCTAGTTAACCTCTTTTACAAGTACCTACAACTGATATGGTTTGATTCAATCAATCAAAATATTCTTTATTCAAATTAAACTATATACAAGTTATTTTGAGTCGTAATTAGTTTTGTCATCATTAGTAAATCGCATTAGTTTCCTATCTAGCCTGTGTGCGTATGTTTGTGCGAATTAGTTATAACTGACGTTATTTAAATATTTTTAAATCTTTGTTACGCACACGAAACACGGTGTAGTTTCTCACATTAATTTTAGGTCTTGTGTATTATAATTCAGAATTTGATTTGAAACCAAAACAATACATTGCACTTAATTATTATCGGTTGTTTTTTTCTGGACCTCCTTAAAATATTCCCACAGTATCCGGACCCCACCTAAAACTACTTGCCGACCGCTGTTCTAGACCATAGTCTGTGTGTATCCAGCCGTTCTAGTGTATAGACTATCAAACATACTATTTAGGTACACATATAAACTTACACATTTACAGAAGCAATCTGACTATCCTGATAAACAGATAAATAAAATTGAAGTGTTTGTTTGTAATGTCAAAATAACAGCTTTTTACTAAGTGCATATAAAAGTATATACGGTACCTACTTATAGGATTTTTTTTTGTCTTTCTGTCTATTTGTTCCGGCTAATCTCCGAAACGACTGGACTGATTTTGACGGAACTTTCACTGGCAGATAGCTGATGTAACGAGGAGTAACTTAGGACTTTTATTTTAGAAAAAGTATTAGATTTCCGTTCAGAAAAATTAAAACGCACCCGAACGAAGCGATGGTAAGTCGCTAGTTAATAATAATATAAAAAATATTTATAGAGAGCATAAAATAAGCAAACATATAATGTATACGTACAGTCGAGTACATCAATTCCATTGTTATGCCGACGGTTCTGGCGACGTGTGTCATGTAACATAAATAAACTAATAACATAATATGAAATATAAATAATCTGAACATTTCAT